GAAAATAATTTTATGGTTGGGGGTCACCACAACATGAGGAACTGTATTAAGGGGTCACAACATTAGGAAGGTTGAGAACCACTGATTTCGAGAATGTCTGGTTCAAATTCAGCTAAATAACTGGCCAAGGGGTAAGAAGACTTGTGTAGCCAAAGACCAAGGCACTAAAGTTAAAATGAGGCACACACCTTGCAAGAAATCTTCAAAGGGCTTCCTGACCCAGACAATGTCTGAGTCAGGATACTAAAGCTTCAGAATAGATAATACAACTCACAATGTATTGGTTAAGAAGGTTGACACCACCACTGAAGAATTCTATACCATCACCAAGTCTTGGAATATGAAGACAGTCATCATTCAAACTCAGGAAATACCCATTTCTATGAAATTATGCCCTTTAAACATCATAACTATCTACAGCAACAGCACACTGGTTTTTACTTTTAGCTTCCAGTTTGGATGTAGAAAGCTAGAAAGAGCATTTCTACCATCCTAACAAGAAAAAGCCAGAAAATCTAAAATAAAAATCATAACCTTCCTTCAACCTATCAGAAAGCTATCCAAGAAAGAAAATAAAACAACAAATAAAGAAAAAGAAAGAAAAGGAAAACTATCCAAGTAACCTGAAATCCAAAAAAAAAAGACAGGAACCCCCCAGACATGATGTGAGCACAGACTCACGGGAGGCAGTGTAGTGGAAGAGGGGGATCCCATACAAGTGGATAAGAAGCATTTAACTAAAATTATTTATGAACTGCTGAAGAACGGCATGAAAATATAAACTCCTGGGAGGCACATGACAACAGTAGTTTATACCCGCTTGCAGGCTTTTCTACACAGACCTCCACAGGGAGCTCAGGAGAAAGATGGGGGCAGGGCAGGAGACTAGAGAAGTCCTCCCCTATGATACAGGACCAAAGGAGAGGAGACGCCACCATAGCGGACGAGGCAGAAAGTCCCGCCTAGACATTTCTCATCTATGGAACAAAAGGAAGAAGGCTTCCCTATAAATTCTAACATTTAAGAAAGAAATAATAAGGCTGGCCGAGTGGCGCGATGGTTAAGAACTGGCTTGGGATGCCAGAGGGCCCCGGTTTGGATCCCACATTTGAGGGCCAGTGACACTGCCCTCCACAGCTAAGATGCTGAACAACAGCTCAACCTGGAGCTGGGCTGCTGTGAGTCG